GATTTGAGATCTCTTAAAAATGCATTTTGACTAAGCCTTTGGTGGGTTACGGGAGGATATTCTCCCCAAAAAAATTTCCCCCTTTTTAGCGTCTTTTGGGGGACCATTTAGGGGGAATGGGGAGAGAAACCGAGGGGAGGAGAATTGGAGAAAGATTTTTTTGGGGAGAGAGACGAGAGACTAGAGATAGAGATTGAAACCCTAGCAGAGGAAAAAGAACCGATAGAGATGAAAAACCTGAGTAAACAACAGGAGAGAAAACCCTGGATATTACATCAGGGAGCCTGGGCCTCCTGAGAGAAACCCCAAATATACCCTTAGGACATAACTCACTATTAGAGACTTGCTGATCGAGGCCTGGACCAGAAGGGCAAGAGCAACCGATTCTGATATGAGTGAGCCCCAAAGGCTCGAGAGTCCCCAGACATCCTGCCCGATTTGGTATCATTCTTAACCCTTTCACTTTCTTCATTTCTTTACTGATTTATTTTATTTTGATTTGTTTTTTATTAATTCGTTTTTCTTTAAAAATCATATTTTTGATATCTTGGATCATGTTCGCTCCGCCATAGATCTGAGAGAAGATCTGCTTTTCTGGGCAGATCTGAATTCGATTTGTCCCACCTTTTCTACCATTGCTTTCCTTTTTATTTATCAGTTTAAAGTGTCAGATCTAAGTGATCTACATCGTTAGATCGCTTCGATTTTGCACGGGAAACAAAAGGCATGTATTTTCTTGAATGAAATGTAACTGGGAACCACTTATCATGAATTTTTATTATGTTGCTATGCATATTGTGAAGCGATTTTACTTGTGTTGAATTGAGCTTCTTTCATCTTTTCATTCATATGGACAGGGAATTCAATGTGAGCCGCATTTAAGTTCATTTAATTTTGGACATGAGAATGGTTAGAAAGTACCAGTTATCTTCCACTTTTTGCTGTGAAGCCATCCTATTTTCTCAAGAATGAGAGTCCTTTATCTATGAATAAATGCAGAACATGAATGGTAGAAACGGATGATACCAAAACTGGGATTTCACAAAATAGTGAGTCCTTTATCTATGAATAAATGGATACCATGAGGAAATCGGCAGATGGTGGCGACGAGGTACTTATGATTTGCATATTTGTTACGCAAAAATGAGTAGGATGAAGATACCACTACTGTACATTTAAATCACATGCAACATAGAGAAGTTATGGTGGTATGACACTTAAACTACATAAAGAACCTATAACACATGTAGTGGTGCAGTTCATCTATGTCTAGCAGTTTCTGAGTGCATTCATATAAATAGGAAAGTAAACGAAGCATAATTGAGTGTGCCACTGTTCAAAATTCAATGCTAAAAGAGGGTAGAAGTTTTGGAAGGATATGATCATCATTAAAGCTTTATCCCAACGATTTTATGTTGGCTACATGAATCCCATTATGCTAGTGTGCTCTATCAAGGGCCATACCCTCAATGAGACTTTGGAGTGAATATGATACCAATGTTTTAAACTACTAAATAAAATACCAATGATTTAAGCCCTCCACCCCCTCTCACTGATGATGGAGAACTTTGAATAAACTTAGAAAATCAGCAAGAAGCACATAATTTTGGAGAAACCCTAATGCTTTCTCCCACATAGGGCTCAAACCTTAGGATTCTTATATAACTTGAAACTCAACTCCCTAACATTAATTAAAATATCTTAAAGCTCCCTAATTGATCCATCAATGAAAGAAATAAAAGAAACTATAAATTCCTAGAATTCTTAAAAACTAAAATCTTAAAAATAAATCCTAAAACTTAAATCAAAATATACATTCTTTAAATTGAACAAAAATTAAAAATAAATATAATTTTTTCCATTACCCGTGCACCTGACCACCCATCAACCCGCCACCCCCTCCCTTCCCCCCAATTATTACATGGTGCCCAGGAGAGACCTAGGCCCTCCCTGAGCCTAGGAGGGCCCCTAGAGGGAACCTGCTCAGGATTTAAGGCACTGCCTATGCTCCAAGGCGCCCCATTTTATAAACACTGGTATTCAGGTCTCTTATTGTAACACTAATGTTGTCAGTATAGTGGGCAACCTGATATCCATTGTAACACTAATGTTGTCAATATAGTGGGCAACCTGTCCTTGAGAAACCAAGTCCATTAAATTTGCTTTTTTTTTTATTAAAAATAGTAGACTTGAAGGATGCTACGTATTCTTTCCTACATTTCCATCAGACCATGAAACAGTCGACGGCAGATATCTTCATGAGACCTTGATAGCTGATCTAAAATATTTCATAATGGGTCAAGTCTTTACCCCAGACCTATTCATGTTTTTGGGGGTGGTGTTAGAGTATGTATGGGTAATTCTTACAGGCTACATAATTTAATTGATCCTTGTAAGAATAGCTCTATCTTCTTCAGGGTTATATTATGTTTGTTCTATCCTTATTTTTCCCTTTTTGTAACATTTTACTGGAGGATTTCCTGTAATTCATAGATCAGTATAATTATAAAGTGATGTCATTTCTGAGTCAAACAAATATTTAATATCAAATGCATTCGCTGTAGATCACAAAGAATGCATGCTTTGAGATATTATTCCAGATGAAGAATAATCTTTGAGATAATACTGGTTGACAACATTTCATGTGTTCCATGATGGCAGGGGTATGGTATGCTGGAATCAAGTTGAACTGTTTCACTTGAAATGAGAATGAAGGGAAAGCATTATTTTGGATCCACTGGATTTCTTTTTCCAGGTGTTGAAGCTAGAATAGTCAATGTTGACACGTTGAAGTCTATTCCTCCTAAATTAGTCAGGGGATATATGGATTCGTGGACCAAATATAATGTAAGGTAGGACTTCCATTTAAATCCTTCTTTACCTTATTGAAATTCCTATAGAAGATAATGTTTGGATGATCTTCATCTCTGCACTTGAATATCATACTTCTTTATGAATATTTGTCTAATACCACATAAGTGCCTAATTTGCAAATCATACTTTGTTTGATTATACTAGGACATCTTTGTTTAATTAGAAGGTTACCAAATTCCAAAAATGATTTCTTCTGGCATCTTATGTTTTCTTGGTTCTGGATTTAATTGTTTTAACTTCAACTAGATTCTCATACATGGAGATGCTCATAAGCCCATTACAGAATATGTATATCTCAAACTTTTTGTTAACATTCATTTTCGGTTGACCATTTTCCTCAAACAACTTTAGAACGTTTGCATTTCACTTCTTTGGATTTTAATTTTTTTTCTCTTTTTTTTTTTCTTTGAGTTAGATGAAAATGAAAGTGGGTTTCTTCCATTTTTATAAGAAATTATATGATGATGTTAGAAACATATTTTGGGTCCCTCTATATTTCTTGTTTGGTGATGTAGTATTGTGGTGAGGAACATCGCTCTTGATTTTGCATGGTCCCAAGGGCGAACACTTTAGCCATGGTCCATCCCCAAATCCATCACTCTTGATTTAGTGAGACCCACATAGGACCCAAAATCCATATTCCCCACTCTTGGATCACTCTCCTCTAATGAGCAAATTATTTGGAGCTCAATCTTGCTCCATGCTCTTGATTTTGCATGGTCCCAAGGGCGAACACTTTAGCCATGGTCCGTCCCCAAATCCATCACTCTTGTGTGGGTCCCTAAATCCATCTCCGCTCTTGGATCACTCTCCTCTAATGAGCAAATTATTTGGAGCTCAAACTTTCTCCAAAGTGCCTTCATGATAGACCCATGCCATCCATTAAATGGACTATATACTTGGGGGATTTGGAGGTTTTTTGAAGCTTCACATATTTTTATTAGTTCAAGGAGAATACTTCGGATATTCTTTAAAGCCTTTGTGGTTTCCTAATCCACTGATAAGTGATGAGTTCTGGTAGGCAATATTGCTTTTTGGCTCATCGGATATTTTATGATTTCAAATACATACACACATAGAAGCTGTGACTCACCTTGTGTATGGCATCTAGATGTTCTACAGAATGTAGGAACGTGATGGATAGTCAGCCATCCTAATTACAGAATACACCTTGAGCAGTATTGTGTCAAGGATTCTAGAAATCAGCATGCTTTAAAACTCTAAATATATATGAATTCCATGGTTATAATGATCTTGGGATTGCTAGATAAGTTAGGGTATGATCTTGATGAACAAGATGGATGATAGCAATAAGGTGATTATGGTATGAGTCATTCATCATGGCATGGAGCATAGTCATATGAAAAGGACGGATAAGGAAACACTATTTTTTCATAGGCTGTGGTGCTCTGTCATAATGCATGCCCCTTTCGCTTAAAGGATTTATAGTTTACTTTTTTTTTAGATAAATAACCTTTTCGCTGATTGTGGAAGCATACTTCAAGCTGTGCGGATTTAGGAAGCTTACAAACTCAGGCGTAATAACCAAAATAAAAAATAAGAAATGAGGAGACAAGAGAGCTAGGGGGGTTGTGGGGAGATCTAGTAGGTGCGGGCAAAGGGGTCATGGACCAAGCAATGGGCTCGTCATGTATGATTAGATAGCTACGTTCGCTTCCTCTTCATTTGCCCATCTAATCATATCATTTGCCTCTCTATTGACATGACTTAGTATACCTTCAATAGGATTGCTCAAAACAAGAATTTCCTTCATAATGTCTACCAAACACCAAGGATGGATTGATGGTTTGCTGATGGATGCAAAACATGCATGTCTTCTTTAACTTCGTCAATCTAACTCGACATGTACAGAGATCTTACGAGTCATACCCAAACACACAAAGAACATGTGATTTTCCTCATGTGAGGCATCCCAACGTTTCATAGTTTGAGGTACATGAATATAGTAAACATGGATGGTCAGTCAGGCATCCTTATTATAGAGTACACCTTGAACGATATTATATCCAAGATACTAGAAATCAGCATGCTTTAAAGCTCTAATTATATATGAATTCCATGAATATAATGATCTTTGGATTACTAGATAAGCTATAGTATGATCTTGATGAACAACATAGATAATGGAAATGAGGTGATTATGTTGTGACTTATTCATCATGGTATGCAGCATACTGAGGTATACAAAAATAATGGCTAAGAAAATACTATCTTTCATTTGTTGTGGTGCTCCATCATGATATATGCCTTTCCCCGGTAAATGATCCGTAATTAATTTTTTTTTATATTTAGATAATTAACGCTTTATTTAGAGAATTAACCCTTTTATAGAATGTGAAAACATAGTTCAAGTTGTGCTTATTTAGAAAGCATACAAACCGGGGCATAACGATCAAAAAGAAAAAAAGCAAAGGGGAGACTAGAGATCTAGGGGGACGGGGGTTGATCTCCTAGATGCATGGAGGGGTCATGTACCTGCACTTATCTGTATTTGTAGATAGCTATGTCTCTTCGTCTGGCCCATCTGCTGTATTGTTTGCCTCTCTATTGATATGAGTCAATATACACCCAAGAGAATTGCTTAATACAAGAATGTCTTCTGCTAAAGACCAAGATAGATTAATTTTGTTTTTTTTAAGGAGTTAACTGTTCTATTAAAAAGGAGGAGGTAATACAAGTTGTCAAAAATAGGTTCCCACAAGCTGGGAGCTCTATACAAAAATAAGCTTCCCGTTAGGCTGGAGCTCTATACTAAAAAGAAAAGGCTGCCCACGAGGAAGTAGCCCTGTAAAAAAATCTACGAGACATTGACAAGGGAAAAACATAAAACAGATGCGCCCCGCATCATAGGAAGCTCATAGAAGAAAGAAAGAGTGCTACAAAACTCATGTTGTGATGTTGAGTGATCCCTCCTTAGTGAGGATGTTGACTGCCGTGTTCTCCTTAGTGAGGATGTCTGTTGCCGTGTTGGCTTTGCATCAGATATGCCTCCATGAAACGACCATAGGCCTGCAAATGGGAGTCGTAAAAAATGTGTGCTAGTTCCAAGGACAGGGGGAACAACCTGAAGCCCAACGAATGACGTTCTTGGAGTCAATGTCGATGATTACATTTGACGCCCAGTGGGGATTAAAGCTCTTAAGCCCCCCGAGAAGGGCTAAGGCCCCAACCATATGTAGAATCTGAATGGCCTATGTGTTTGGAGAACGAAAATAGTATGTGACCTTTTTGAAAAGACCTCCAATGCCCATGGGACTTGGGTTGCCAAGGGAACAACAATGAAAGTTTAACTTTGCCTGGCTTGGTTCAGGCGGTCTCCACATGAGGCCTGAGGGATGCGGTATTACCTTGAGGGTAGCAAAGCTAGCCAATCTTGGATAAAATCATTGTGGGGGACTCGACCATGGATATAACTTTGTCAAACAATGCCAAGCGAGTGGATCTTTTTCCTCGAATGATCCGACTGTTTCTTTCTGTCCAGATGACCCAAAGAGTGGCTACCACGAAGCCTTCCACAAAATGATGCCTGCTTTGGGCCAAGGAAAGGGTTGAAGGGATTTGAAAAGAAGGAGGGCTTGACTTTGGGGTGTAACCCATTGCCATCCAAACAATTTGGAGAATGGCTCCCCATAGTTCCTGGGCTAGGGGACAATGGATAAAGAGATGAGAGTTGGATTCCTCATTCGCTATACATATCACACATCTATTGGGGATGGGTAAACCCTTTCATTGGAGTTGGCCATTCGGACAGGGCTATCTATTTAAAGACTTAAAATTTAAGGGTAGCAAGCGAGGACCAGGCCTGAGCAATAATGGAAGTGGGAGAAAAGGGAAAATGAGCGGTTATAGAAGCCTGTGGTAGAAAGAGGAGCTCGAGAAGATTCCCAAAGGAGAGGGGTACCAAATGATGAGGTTTGGACCCTAGGGGATGCGAAAAGTGGTATGGAGGAGGGAGGAGAGGTTGAAAAAGTTCGAAACCTATGATTCAATGGTCTCTCAAAGGTTGGTCTCTCAAAGGTAGGGCTCCACGCACGAGTTCAAACTAGGGCATGGATTGTTGGGTCCTAGATGGGGCTGTCAATGGACAGGGCCAGGCCTCGGGCTTCCAGTTCGGGCCGGTTTTGGGCTTGGTAATGGGCCACTATCGGGATAGAGGGCCGGGCCAGGCCATCATGTGGTTAAGTGTAATTTTGGACAGGCCAGGTTGTTAATACTTCATGATAATCAAAACCTTGTCACGATTTTCTCATCTTTTCGAAAAATCACAAATTTTCAAAAAATTCGATCATGGATTACAAAAAAAAAAGAAGAAAAATCTGTTCTTCACAGAGCCACCTTACATCGGCCTTTTCAAATAAAAAATCCACCTCCAAACGAATAAATTACATCCAATTGGGTACATGTTTTGATAAACAACACTATAAGTAATCAAAACCCTAAATTATGAACACATTATCACCAATAAATCAAATCAAATCGATTAAATTGAGCAAAAAAAAAAAAACGCAGTTCTTCACAGACAACAGTCATTAGATCTAAAAAATGAAACTCAAATTGAATAAATCAGATCAAATTGAATACATCTGATTATACACAAGACTATAACGATTCAAAACCCTAGAAATCTAACACATATTTTGTAATATATCGTGAACAATAGATTGAAAGGCGGAAAAATAAAAAAATAAAAACAGCATAATTTTTTTTTTCTCAAACATTACTGTGTATTTCTAAAAACTCAGGCTGTACTTGAGTAAATTAAATAAAATTGAATATAATAAATGATAATAAACACGATAAAGATTTAAAACCCTACAAATTTAACTGATTACTTTCAAAATATGGATCGAAATTGATCAAATGGCGGGAAAAAAAAAAAACGCAAAGTTCTTATCTGGTTTCGTGAACCCCGTGGTTTCAATCTCCAAATTAATCTGTTTTTCTCAAAGATAATCAC